AGATCTGTGAGGAGAATGGGCAGTTTTAAAAATGAAAGAAATAGCCATTAAAAAGCATTTCGATGTAAAACTGTTTTAAAAAGTCCAAATTTTCATTCTGGGGAAATCTATCATGGCTTCCAAATAGGCTCTGTGTTTATCAGTCAGATCTGGAACAATTATGGATCAGAAATGGCAAGATACTGTAATTTTTTCTTCTTGTGGCTTCTTTGGAGGAAGTTTTAAAAATAGATTTGGGTAGGATTACCATGAATTGCTGTGATGGGTACAAGCTTTGTTTATTTATTCATTTATATTTCATATGTCTCAAAGGGAGATGCTTAATAGAGTAAAAATGTGAGAGAGAAATAAAGTGCAAAAAGTATTGCAATTTGTCATGGGAAACTTTTCTGGATTTTAGTTGCAGAGTGACTTGAAAAGTATAACCTTCTGAATTTTAGGCTTGATTAGAATCCTGTAGGACAGTGATGGCTAACTTTTTTGTCCTCGCGTGCCCAAAGAGTGTGCACACGTGCCCACAACCATAATGTAATGCACGTGCGATACCCCCCCGTGTGCCCCGCCTCTCCACGCATGCGAGTGTGACTCTCTTCGCACTACATTTTGTACTTAGAAGGCCTCCCTGCAGCCTCCTGGGACCAAAAATGGGCTGGGGGGGGGATGCTGTACCCTCCTGCACCCTTTTTGGGCCTAATAGTCCTCCCTGAAGCCTCCTGGCACCAAAAACAGCACAGGGAGGCGTGCCTCCCTCCGTGTCCCTGGGCATGCGCATGCATCTTCCATATGCGTGGTAGAGACCCGAAAATCAGCTGGCTGGTGGGAGGCCCATGCGCAGTGTAGCTGAGCTGGGCAATGGCCATAGGTTTGGCACCATGGCTATAGGAGGTGAATTCAGCACGACAGGCTGGTTTAGACCAGAGCTGTCAACCTTGATTTCATTGAGGGATGCAACAGGGTTATGTTTCACCTCGGGGGAGGAGCAAATTGACGTAATTTGTGTCAGGGGCGACTCTGGTGGCCCAAGGGCTCTGCCAGCGAAAGCGGAGAACAGGAGGGCCCTGTACAGCCTGCCAAATCTCCGTTTTCACTAGCAGAGGGTTGCAGGAGGTCATCCCAGTCGAAAATAGAGATCGGGAACCTGTTTTTGCTGGCAGAAGCACCACGTGCTGGTCCTTTGCTGTCTCCAGGCTGACCTCGCGGGCCAGATCTAAGCACCCTGTGGGCAGGATCTGACCCACGGGTCTTGAGTTTGACACCCCTGCTTTAGCCCATGAAGGCACTGCATATTTTTAGTTGATTTAAGTGTGCAGGTTTTTGTTTATGTTGACCTGGTATTTCCTCTCTTCCCCCCCCCCCCCTTTAGGCTTGCATTTTATAAACTATAGAAACAGCCCTTTGGATGTCTCTGGCAAGTTCTCTGGAGCTCTCAGGGAGCGGCCAAGGCTGTCGTTAGCACGCCTGGCTTCTCCAAAATAGGCATGACTGAACAGAATACAATGTACCCACATTGCACAATGTATCTGAAGCCATTTGAGTTTCTCTTGGAAGGTGAAGGAAAAACAAGACTCCGTTTTTTACCTAAATTTCATTAAGCAGATCCCGCTGGGGAAAGAGTCATAAAAAAGGGGAGGAGGGCAACATTTATGAGAAAATCCCCACACTAACAAAATCAAATTCTGTGTTTGAAATAACACGAGCATAGGAGATACAGAGGTAGTCCTCGACTTACAACTGTTCAATGACCTTTCAGAGTGACAGCAGCACTGGAAAATTGAGATGGCCGGTCCGCACGCTTATAATCAGGACAGCATCCTTACATGATCAAAATTCAAGCACTTGTCAACTGGCATGTATTTGGGTGATATAGTCATCATGTGTGACTTTCTCAGCTGGCTTCCAACAAGCAAAGTCAATGAGAGAATCTGGATTTGCTTAATGACCAGGTGATTCATTTAAGAATCACACTGATTTGATGAATAACTCTAGCAGAAAGGTCGTAAAGTAGAGCCCTACTTACCGCCTTGCTTGACAATGGAAATTCTGATCCCAATTGTCATAAGGCAAAACTCTACTCTATAGACTAATTAGGATTAAGCAATAGGGCTGGCTGTGAACTAGATATGGGGTCCCAAAAGTGCTTTTTTTAGGAGGTAACTGGACTTTCTTGTTTTTTCTTTGAAGACTCATCCAAGAAGCTTCTTCAGCTCTGACTGGATGGTGGGGATTTATACTCCTTGCAGACAGCTGATCATTTGCATCCTTTTAGAGGGTCCTTGAAGCACTTGAAGGATTATCTGTGTCCTCAGGGTCAAGAGAGTAGTACAAATGTTTCCTGTAGTCTGCAATTTTTTCCTCTGGAAATCCATTCCTACTCCTGCACCATCCCAAATTGTATAGCTAAAAGTCTGTAGAGATTCTCAGTCTTCCAGGTGATGGATTTCTATTCCTTGCAGACAGCTGGTCATTTGCATCTTTTTAGAGGACCGTTGAAGCACTTGGAGTAAAAGGATGCAAATGACCAGCTGTCTGCAAGGAGCATAAATCCTTCCATTCCCGGCTATCCTGTCAGAGCTGAAGAAGCTTCTTGGATGAGAAGCGAAACGTCTTCAAAGAACAAACAAGAAAGTCCAGTTGCCTCCTGAAAAAAGCACCTTTGGGATAAACATGACCTGGATGACTGAGAATCTCTACAGAATAAACAATAGGGGTTTCCCCCCTTCTCTTCAGGTAGTCCTCAATCAAGTATTCTGAGTTTTAAGAATCTTTCTGTTGCCATTTGGAGTAAGGCAAGTCTTGGGTCTAACTTTGAGAACAAAAAAACAGCCTTGACCCCTTGAAACAAATGTGTTTGTTTGTGACTGTGCCACATCAGTCCAGAGTCTGAGTGGCTAATTTAGAAATGTTCCTTCCACTTCAGTACAAACAAGATTTCCCCCACACGTTTCCTGTCACTTTCTAATAATCTTAAAGGGCCTCAGCTGATCCTGCCACAAAATCTCAGTCACGGCTTCTCTTTTTGTCCCTTCTGCAAAGCCTTGTAAATAATGTTTACAGAACCACCATTTACAGAATAACGAGCGAACACTTTGAGCCCCAATAGAAATACATTATAATTTTAATTGCTTCATTAGTGTGTGGTGCTCTCCTACTGTTCTTCATAGGAGCACCTAAATTGTGCCATGTTTTGATTTTCAACCCTAATTGCTTTAGGCAACAAGGCATGCATTACATTTTGCTAGACTTGTATCTAGCTGTATGGCCGAGTTGAGTGACAGTCTTAAAGGCCCAGAAAGCAAATTGGGTCGGCTAGTACAGAAAGAGGAGGTCTAATCAATGCATTTTAAAGGAAACCCGTGCAATGCTATTCAGTCACTACAGACAGGAATTAGCAAGTTTAGATCAGCTGACCATTTATTTTTAAACTCAGGGTGAGCAAAGAAACAATTCTTTGGTGCGTTACACATGAGGACATATTCCTTTCTGACTTTCTTTATGAAAAGGCCTTATATTTGTAATTTTGCATACCTAGAAAGAAAAACTGATTGGGTTTGCTATGAGAACAAATTGTGTGCGCCAATCCCTTGACAGGAGAGTGATTGGCGCAAACAATTTGAATTGAATTCTTTATTGGCCAAGTATGATTGGACACACAAGGAATTTGTCGTTGGTGCATATGCTCTCCGTGTACATAAAAAGACAACATACATTCGTCAAGAATCATAAAATACAACACTTAGTGATAGTCATAGATTACTAATAAGCAATCAAATCATTCTAGGAAACAAACAGAACAATATAAATCTTAAAAATACAAGTAACATGGTTATAGTCATAAGTGGGAAGTGATAGATACTAGGAAGGAAGAGACGAATAATAGTAATAAAATCTTAGTAAATAGTTTGACAGTGTTGTGGGAATTAGTTGTTCAGCAGAGTGATGCCATTTGGGGGAAAACTGTCCTTGTGTCTAGTTGTTTTGGTGTGCAGTGCCCTATAGCATCATTTGGAGGGTATAAGTCGAAACAATTGATGTCCAGGATGTGTGGGGTCTGTAGTTATTTTCACAGCCCTCTTTTTGACTCTTGCAGTGAATGTGCTGATCATTCACTTTTCTCTCAATTACCTCCATTATTGTCCTTTCTCCTTTTCTGGAGAAAAGGATCAGAGCCTGAACTGATGATTGAAGCAGGGGTGTAAACAAGTAATGTCACAATAATGATATATTTGCACATCATCAATACTCACAATAACTACATCCAAAATTAGAAGCTGCTTTGTGCTGGTGTTACGCTGTGGCAAAATACTCAGTCCCCAGGTCTTCTGCATGGATCTGTTGCTGGAAGCAGATTCCTGTATGGAAAGAGAATGCTCAGGAAGAACTCATGAAGACTAGTAAACCATCTTTTTTATTGTGGTTTAATGGCCTTACAAACACATGCATAGAAGAGGTTGGGGTCGTGCCTTTTCCACGTGTACAAGGTTCTTTTGAGAGCTCTGTAGCAGCCTGTGAATTTTTTCCAGGGTCCTAATTTGCAAATTGCTTTAGGACACAGTGATGCAACAGATCATTGAACTGTTATTTGGTAAATATTCAATATTGCCTTTAGGAAGATGCATCAGTATTGCAGTCTCGATAGTGTGAAAGTTAAATAACAAAGAATAAATGGGTTCTGTTTCACCTCTTAGTTGGAATAACTTTAAAAAAAAATCTTAGTCCCGAGTAAAGGCAAAGAATATGGCTGGAACATATTAATATTGCTAGTGATACTTTTTGTTAGACACCTGTCCATCCTCAGTCATTCACCAAGGGAGGAGAAGGTTTCCAGGCTCTGCTGCTTCATTACTTTCCGTGTCTTGTAATTATAAGCAACCAATTAAGGAATCAGTGTAGCTTTGTGAGTTACTATTATCCCTTTTTAAAAATCAGAAATATCTTCTTTTTGAATGCACAATTTTTTTTTTGCACTAACCCTTTGTTACTAATACCTCTTCAACTCATAGCTGGCTTTATAAAGTCACCTCTCTCTCAAAAGAAACTGACAGAGGAAAGTGTGGAACTGCACTGTGAGGCCATTGGCAACCCCATCCCTGAAATCCAGTGGTGGTTTGAAGGAGCTGACCCCAATGGTACCGCCATACAGCTGTGGGATGGCGCCTGGCAGAACCGGGTCCAAATCAGCGCGACCTACCAGCATCACTCCTCAAGCACTATCGCCATCACTAACCTCATGATCGAAGACTCTGGCACCTACGAATGCTGGGCCAGCAACGACCCCGACCGTAACCACTTGTCGAAGAGCCCCAAAGTCAAATGGATCCGTTCCCAGGCGAACGTCATTGTCACTAAGCGTGAGTGGCAGACTCTTTAAGTGTCGACGTTCCCACGACACCGAAAGTTCTCCAACGTTACGATCCCCGTGCCCCTGGCTCTCCTTCCATCCGTGTTCTGTGGCTTCCCAAGACCCTCTCATGCGCCTCGGTTTCCCGACCCTTGTAAACCCCACAGGAATCAGCCTTCTCCCCCCCCCCACTCCAATATTCCCATTAGAAACAGAGACCAGGTTGCCTTCGCGCTGCTTCCACCAGTCATTTCCAAACCTAGTTTCCCCCCACCCCCCCGGTCCCCCCTTCCTCCTGCTCTGATATTTCTTCCTGCATCTGTGCGGTTGTGCTTTTTTGTTTTTGCTTCCCCACTTTACAAGGAGCACAATTTTGCAGGGGGGGGGGGAGTCCAAACTGTATTTGTGCTTGTTGTAACGGGCAGCTGTTGTCTGAAAAAGGCCAAATTTTTTCTCTTGGCCACTTAGGTGTCCTATGCTTAGTAGTTCTTCTTGGCTGTGGGATAACCAGTCGGTTATCCTTCCATTTGCAGAGCTTGCAAGTTAAAATTTCTTAATGGGGGGGGGGTGTAAAATGATACAGCTAATGGCCAAAATGCTGAACTTGCATTTACGGGCTTCGGTTTTGGATTTATGCGCAAGAGCGTATAAACACGCAAGAGCGTTTTCACTCTTGGTTTTCAAATTCTCCTGAAGCCCCTTGAAAGCTTGATCAAGGATTCCTTAATAGGATCAGGAATGACTTTCTCATTCCCGAGGCTGAGATACGAAGGCCCCTTGGTTCATATGAGGTGATGGTGCAGCCCAGCCAGCCTAGCCAGTGCAACATATGAACTAGGTCCATGCTTCAAGACCTCTGCAAGTAGACCCCCGCTCCCCTTGTAGATGTTTGAAGGAGTTGTCTGTGTGAGAAACTGTTCCTTAACTGAAGGAAGTTTGCAAATAAATGGCTTTGTTCCATCGATGGCTGGTTTAAAACAAAATTAAATAATTCTTGATGAATGGAAATGCTTGTTTTTTTAGGAGGCAAGTCTCAGGAGGGTCTTTTACCTTTATGCCCTGTCTCATGGGAAATAACCAACTTGGATGAGTTGGCTTGATTATGTGCGGGGGGGGAGGGGGGATATTCGTGGCAGTATATTTCTCTTGAAAATGGTGGTTTAAATACGACGGTTAGCTTGGATAAACTTCTTTCAGTGCTCAAAATCTCTTAGATCAAGTCTCTCTAAACTCAGCAACTTTACGTCTTGTGGACTTCAACTCCCAGAATTCCCCAGCCAGCCATGATGGCCGAGGAATCATGGGAGTTGAAGTCCACAAGTCTTAAAGTTACCAAGTTTTAGATATCTCTGGTTTAGATGGTGAAGTGCCTTTTTTTGAGGAGGGGGGGAGGGGGGATTACATTTCATACTGTTAGCTTGCAGTTCAAAGGATGGTTATAATTTATTAAATTCCAAAAGAAACAAAGCATGAAAAATAGTTCCTTTTGGGTACTCTGTGCATACGAACTATAGGGTGCAATTTTTTTTCTCTCTAAAAGAAATGCCAAGTAAATAACTATGCCAATTATGACTTTGTGACTGATCTTATCTCTACCTCATCAGGTAAGAAATTCTCCTTCATGGCAACTGAAGGCTAATACAGGTAGTCTTCGACTTGTAACCGTTCAAAGTTGCAGCGGCACTGAAAAAAAGGTGACGTGAGCATTTTTCACGCTTACACGGCCATTGCAGCCTCCCCATAATCATGTGATCAAAATTAAGACCTTTGGCAAGTGGTTCATTTTGATGACGGTTGTGGTGTCCCCTTTTGATACGTTCTCACAAACAAAGTCAAAGGAGAAGCCAGATTCACTTAACAACTATGTTATTCACTTAACAACTGGCAGTGATTGAGTCAACTAGTGTCAATCAGATTGACTCAGCAAGAAAGGTTGTAAAATAGGGGGAAACTCAATTAACAATTGTCTCACTGAGCAACAGAAATGTGGGGCTCAAATGTGCTCGCAGGTTGCATACTACCTGTACACTCTCTTCTGGCACTATGAAAACTTGTAACTCTCATGTAGGCTCAGGATTTTCCTAGGCAGGCAAATATGCCTATAGGAAATGTGGAGCTTCCACAGTCTCTGTGGTTGAGCTTGGGTTAAATTGGGGGCGACATCACAGATTGCTGCCTTTATTTCTCTTCTTGGACTGGCTTAAAATCCTTAATGCAATTTCTGCTCCTGGCCTAAAATTGAACTACAGGTAGCCCTTGGCTTACAATATTCAATTAGTGACCTTTTGAAGTTAAGATGACAGCGGAAAAAATGATATGACATTTGTCTCACGACCATTGCTGCATTCCCATGGTCACATGATCAAAATTTGGATGCTTGGCAACTGGCATGTATTTGTCCCTTGCAGTGCTCTGGAGGGTCATGTGATCATCTTTTGCGACCTTCTGACAAGCAATGATTCATTTAACCACCATGTTACTAATTCAACAACCGCAGTGATCCACTTAACAATGTGGCAAAAAAAAAGGTTATCAAATGGGGCAAAACTCACTTAACTGTCTTGCTTAGCAATGGAAATTTGAGGTTCAACTGTGATCGTGAGTCGAGGACTACCTGTATACAGCCATTTTTCATCAACATATTCCTTTACTGAAATGAAAGAGAGAATGAATGAATGAGAATAGAGCTAGATGTTTCTCTGTAGCGATTGTTCAGAAAGGAGAAGAAGATGCACTCGTATTTAAGCAGAAGAAACAACAAAGCAAATACATTGACTCCAAAATCACAAATAAAGCACCCAGAATGTTTTGAACCGTTCAATAGGTCTGTATGCATAGATACACTATTTTATTTATCCCAGTAGTTGTGTTTGTTATTAGATAACATTAGAATAATGATGTGCTTAGAAGGTGATGTGCTGCTTTAGAAATTATTGTTACCTCTGCTTCCTAATCTCTTTCCCTTCAAATCCCTCGGATAGTTTATATGGATGCTAACTTCCTGGTGTTTCATAACTTGTACAACTGACCACATTTGTTTAAAACCTCAGAAGCTTGATTTTAATGATAGAAGTTAAATGCAGTTACTGTTCTGCAACCAAGCTGCTTTTTCTCAGGCATGCAGGGGACCGAATTCCGAAAAAACCCAGGGTTCTTTCCTTCTTTTAAGAGGTGTTCTTAAAACATGCTGTCATGCCCATGACATCCTAACCTAACTTTCGTTTTCTTCTTAACAACCAGGGGCCAAAATTTCAACCTCTCCTGAAGTAACTGCTGGCTCAAATGTGATCATTTCATGTAACATAAGTGAAGCATCAACACCTATCAAAGGCAATTACTGGATGAAAGGGGAGACAAAGCTTGATTCCAATACCACCGCTCTGGATTTTACCTCCTACATGTAGGTGACTTTAAAGTAAAGCATACATGGCTTAATGGTCAGAACCAGTTTGGTGTAACGGTTTAGGTGTTGGCTTAGAAACCAGGAGACACTCGAGTTCTAGTCCTGCCTTAGGCATGAAAGCCAGCTGGGTGACTTTGGGCCAATCACCAGGAGACACTGAGTTCTAGTGCCACCTGAGGCATGAAATACTGGCAGGGTGACTTTGGCCAGTCACACTTTCTCATCCTAACCCTTTCTCACAGGGTTGTGGTGGAGAAAGGAAGAGCAGAAGGAAGAAATATTTGTATGTGCATCGCCTTGAGTTGTATATTGAAAGAAAATAAAAAACTTTTTTTTACAAAATATGTTTCTCAGATCAGCAACCTCTCCAAATAGAATATTTCCTCCGAATGCAAAATGAGGAAACTTCACAGCTTGTTTGGCTCACATAACAATGTTCGGTGGAATCATTTTTTTCCCAAAGTCAACAAAAAAAGTGTTTTTATTTCACTGGGAAGTAAATTATTTTAACGGAGATTATTTCCTAGGGAGTATGCAGCGGAGTATACTCTGTCCTTAGAACTAAAGGAAGTTAATAACCATTTCCCCCCAGCATCTTGCTAATAGGTGTGGGGAAGGGAGTAATGAATTGTATGCATTAGCTTAACAACAAGCCCGAAATGCTTTGCCTGCAAAAAATATAATTCTTAGCTGACTGTCACTGCACAAAAACCTCTGGTGCTTAAATGTTGGCCAGTATTAGCTTCGTTCTAAATTAGAGAGGAGGTGGGAATAGGTGGGTATTCTTCACTCGAGAACAACGTGGCACTCAGGCGTAACACAGAAACGGGGAAATGCAGTGGGAGGGGGTGGCTCAGCTTTAGGAAATCTAATCCAGCATTTCCTAGTAGTTATTTTTTTCTCCTGGATAATGCTGGAATGTAGCTCCTCTTACTCCGTGACCGTTATGTTTGCTGAGGGAAGTTGCAGTTTCCAATATCCATTCCCAGTTCTCCTGCTGTGATGGCTTTGTGTATTCTCCTTGTCACCTGCTGATGTGTGTTTGTGTGTGTGTTTTTGAATCCTAGGATCCCCAAAGTGGACTACGAAAGCTCGGGAGAGTACCACTGCATCTTTGACACCAGTCCCCTCACAAAAGGAACGGTGCTCGTGAAAGGTAACTGTTGTGGGTGCTTTAGTCCTCTGCTTTTTCTCTCTCTCTTTCCTCTTTCCTCTTTCCATTGGTGAAACTCTACATAGAGGAGAGGGACTTTGTGTTGTCAAATCCATGTGGAACGAGCCGCTGCTCATGGGCTCCCCTAGCTGCCTCTCTAGTCTGAGAAAGAAAGGAGCCCTGATGGTGCAGGGCAGTTAGAATGCAGTATTGCAGGCTAACTCACTGCCAGCAGTTCGATCCTGACCAGCTTAAAGTTGACTCAGCCTTCCAACCTTCTGAGATCGGTAAAATGAGGTCCCAGATTGGTGGGGGCCATATACTAACTCTGTAAACCGCTTAGGGTTGTAAAGCACTGTGAAGTGGTATATAAGTCTTAAGAGCTAAGTGGGATGCGGGAAGGAGGAAGGAAGGACGGACTGTGGTGGCACAGTGGTGAGAATACAGTATTGCAGGGTGACTCTGCCTACTGCCAGGCGTTCGATCCTGACCTTGGTAAAATGAAGTCCCAGATTGTTGGGAGCCGTATGCTGACTTCGTAGACCATTTTGAGATATAACACACTGTGAAGTGGTATATAAGCCTAAGTACTAGTGCTAGTACTGCCCATTTGTCATCACCTAAAAGTATTTTGTCTCCAGGAAATCCAAACAGTTCCAGGTTTAGCAAGCAAGCTTGTGGAAGTTAGTTTCCGTTGATGTAGACAAGCCTGGTATCCTCTAGGTCAGGTTTTCCCAACCTTGGCAATGCATGGACTTCAATTCCCAGAATTCCCCAGCCACCTATGGGAGCTGAGACTTGAAGTCCATGCATCTTAAAGTCACCAGAGTTGGGGAAACCCTGCTCTAGTTAAATCGGATTGCAATTCCCATACTGAAATTGTGGGATTCGTAACTGAATACACCCCAAGGATGCTAAATTGGGGGAGGTTATGATATGATAACCAGCTAGTTAGAATGCAGCATGACAGGCAAATTCTGCCGACTGCCAGAGGTTCGATCCTGTCTAGCTAAAGGTTGACTCCGCCTTCCAACCTTTGGTGAAATGAGGACACCCAGATTGTTGGGAGCAAGAGGCTGACTGTAAACCACTTAAGAGGCCTGCAAAGCACAGTGAAATGGTATATGTCTTAAGTGCTATTATTGCTATTGCTAGATGAACTTCCTGTGTTTTCCCAGCCTTGTGCACATCCGTCCCCCAATAACTAACTCCCAGACCTAGCAAAGAAATCTGCTGCCAAGGCCTGCTTATGATGGATGAGAGGTTATAGGCAGGAGTGTTTGCTTGATCAGCCTCTCCTGTGACCCCTCTCTGAACTGATCGTGACCTACTGGCTTTTCTGATCTCCTGTTGCAGTTGCTCCCAATGTGGTGGCCTATAAGAAGACGGAGCACGGAAGCGAAGGAGACTCCGTAACGCTGAGTTGCAAAAGCAATTCTTACCCTTATGTTACCCAGTGGACTTGGTACAAGGTGGTAGACCAGGTGCCTCAGGTGAGTGCCTTTCCTGCCACGAACCCAGGATTCCCCTCTCTTCCTCCCCAGTAGGTGTCCCGGCTGCCTATGGAGAAACCATGTTAAGAGTCAACTTTTCCAGTTTTTTTTGGGGGGGGGGGCTTGCTTCACAGAAGGCATATTGAAGAGAGATCAACATGCTTGCTTGTAAAAAGAAAAACTCATTTGAAACCAGGGAGTTCTCAACTTACAGCCATTCACATGCTGCAGTAATACCACTTTATAAGGCCTTGGTAAGGCCACCCTTGGAATGCTGCATTCCGTTTTGATTGCCATGATGTAGAAAAGATGTGGAGACGCTAGAAAGGGTGCAGAGAAGAGCAACAAAGAGGATTAGGGGACTGGAGGCTAAAACATATAAAGAACGGTGGCAGGAAGTGGGCTTGTCTAGTTTAATGAAAAGAAGGACTAGGGGAGACATGATAGCAGTCTTCCTATATCTCAGGGGCTGCCACAAAGAAGAGGGAGTCAACCTATTCTCCAAGGCACCTGAGGGTAGAACCAGAAGCAATGGGTGGAAACTAATCAAGGAGAGAAGCAACTTAGAACCAAGGAGAAATTTCCTGACAGAACAATTGTGGTGCTCTGGGGTCATGTGATCATCTTTTGCAACCTTCTGACAAGCAGAGTCAATGATTCATTTAATAACCGTGCTACTAATTCAACAACTGCAGTGGGCCACTTAACAACTGTGGCAAAAAAGTTATCAAACAGGGCAAAGCTCACTTAACTGTCTTGCTTAGCAATGGAAATTTGAGGTTCAACTGCGGTCATAAGCCAAGGACTACCTGTATGCAGCCATTTTTCATCAATATATTCCGAAAACAGAATTAAACCAAAGGTTAAAAAAAAGGTGGAGGGTCACAAACTGCCCCCATGGTTTACATGTCACAAGCCTCAACACAAACTACATAGTTTGCATGCCAGAAGCCACCTCCCATGGTTGCACGTCGCTCTTGCACCCTTATGCCAGTTGACACTCTTTCAGAAGGCCTGAGGGGTGAGGGGCAAAAAAATATTTATCAAATGTATATGCTCACGTGAGGTAAGAGACTGAGCTGGATGAGGTGGTGATCTGATTAGTCATAAGGAAGCTTCCTCAGTGGGATTTTCTATTTTGGTGTCCCAGACTGCATTGGACATTGTGTGGAAATGGTTCCTTTTGACACTATGAGTCGTCTTCAAGAATATAGGTAGTGTTGTGGCCCGCCAGCAGAGCTGGCAGCAGTTTCGTACAGTGAGGAGGTTGGGGAGGAAGATGGGCCAGTCCCGGAGTCTGGGGAAGGCTCTGATGAGGGTTCTGTGTCAGAGACAGAGAAGGGGCCAGGGCCATCTGACAGTTACCAGCAGTCTTCGGAGTCAGACATCACTGAGGCAGATGAACAGCTGGAGCCTGTTCCCAGTGTGTGCATGCGCAGAGTTGCTAGACAAAGGGAACAGCTAAACAACGGGGGTCAACTTGGGGGTAAGGCCACAGGTGAACGATGAATGGCCCCTCCCAGAGGAAATAAAAGAGGAGCTAAGGTGGAGTGGAGTTTGCAGGAGACAATTGGTTTGTGACTCCCCGAGACTCCTTGCCAAGTCTTGGGCTCGTTTGTGGCATGGGTGGAGGACTTACCTGTAGTTCTTTCTTGTCCTCCAGCCTATTGCCAATGGCACTGATGAAAGATTTTACATCCAATCCAACGGCTCCAAGACAGATCTTCGGATCATTTTGTTGCACCTGGAGAAGGACCCCGGGAATTACGTGTGCAACGGCACCAATGAAATAGGCACCGATAGTGCAGAGGTGACCCTGAGGGTGCGGAGCCGGCTGGCTGCTCTGTGGCCATTCCTGGGGATTGTAGCGGAGGTGCTGGTCCTGGTCACAATCATCTTCATCTACGAGAAGAGAAGAAAGCCCAACGATATTTCTGAGGGTAAGGTGCTGGAATGGGCAAGGGGGAGGAGATTAATAATAATAATAATACTATTACCATAATATATTATAATATAGTGGTATTAAAAAGCCATGGCGGCGCAATGGTCAGAGTGCGGTACTGCAGGCTACTTCTGCTTGTTAGATAAGCTCCCCGTTGGGAGAGCGAGTACGTTCAGCGAAGCGTTGTGAGAGTTGTGTTGGAGAACACACAAACCAGCATACA